CTAGTAGTGAGTAAAGAATTGTACACCTAGACCAACCAAGAAGAGGAATTATTGTACTTGAATAAATAATTATACATCTAGACCAACCAAGAAGATGAACTATTGTACTTGAATAAAGAATTATACACCTAGACCAACCAAGAAGATGAACTATTGTACTTGAATAACGAATTAAACATTTAGACCAACCAAGAAGATGAACTATTGTACTTGAGTAAGGAATTATACATATAGACCAACCAAGAAGATGAACTATTGTACTAGAGTAAAGAATTACACATTTAGACCAACCAAGAAGACGAACTATTGTACTCGAGTAAAGAATTATACATTTAGACCAACCAAGAAGATGAACTATTGTACTTGAATAACGAATTATACATCTAGACTAACCAAGAAGATGAACTATTGTACTTGAGTAAAGAATTATACACCTAGACCAACCAAGAAGACGAACTATTGTACTCGAGTAAAGAATTATACATTTAGACCAACCAAGAAGATGAACTATTGTACTTGAGTAAGGAATTATACACATAGACCAACCAAGAAGATGAACTATTGTACATGAATAACGAATTATACACATAGACCAACCAAGAAGATGAACTATTGTACTTGAGTAAAGAATTATACACTTAGACCAACCAAGAAGATGAACTGTTGTACTTGAGTAAAGAATTATATACCAAGACCAACCAAGAAAACAAACTGTTGTACTTGAGTAAAGAATTATACACCTGGACCAACCAAGAAGACGAACTATTGTACTTGAGTAAAGAATTATACACCTAGACCAATCAAGAAGATGAATTATTGTACTAAAGTAAAGAATTATACACCTAGGCCAACCAAGAAGACGAACTGTTGTACTTGAGTAAAGAATTATACACCTAGACCAAACAAGAAGATGAACCGTTGTACTATGTGTTTTTATCATATGATGTTGCCATGTCATGATATTTTGTTCTTTAAACCACGTTATAGCTGTTCTTTTAGTTAGTTTAGTGTGGGGAACCTGTGTTTTACTTATCTAAAACAAGATATTATTTCTTTACACTTTTACAGAATGAGTAAAAAGTCAGTACAAAGGATAAAGATATAATTACAAGTGCTTATTTATTTATCTAAGATAAATGCTATATTTCTTCTTGACCTTTTGTTTATCCTGTTTTGTTTTTTGTTTACCTCTCTTGTAGATCTCGATATGTAATGTAACTAAGATTGTTTGATACAACAATGTTCTATGTTATATAAACGCCAAGTAACGTTTTTCTTTGTTTTTACTCTAATACACTCACGTCCCTACAATCCACCCTATTATGTAACATAAAGGACATTAAGACGGAATTCGTAACATATTTTATGATTACGCTGTAATCATATACATTGGTCTTGTAACAAACGTCTTTATTATTCACGTTAATCTGAGTTTTAACAAAAATAAACTGAAGTTTAGCAAATGATTCAAGTAATGTTTGAACGGAAACGTTTGGAGAAACACGACCTGAATTATTATTATGCATTTGTTCAGCCCATATATAATTGAAGTATTAATTTAAAAAGAAAGAAGAAAAAAAAGGACTTATATCAGATATTAGAATGAAACTAATCGTATCAAGAACTTTGAGATATTTATAGAATACTTTGGACAAGAATATCATTCTGTCCTGAACCGAACTTTTTCAACTAAGCCTATACGGTCGGTGGCGACGGACAAGTTCACGTACTAATAGTAAAACTTTACACCGGCAAATTTTCTATCCATGCATGAACGTACATCTAATATCAGTGTTTATTTGTATTGGGTGTTAAATATACTTGGATATTCTGTAATTCTATATCCATAGAGTTTATTCAAGTAAACTGCGTGAATGCAAATTCTCAAATATATATATTTTACTTCGTGACAGGCCCGGCATGGCCGGGTGGTTAGGGCACTCGACTCGCAATCTACGGGTCGCGGGTTCGAATCCCCGTCACACCGAAACATGCTCACTCGGTGTCCGGACTAGGACGCCAGTCCTACTCCCGGATACTCACCTCCACCAGAATTTGGAGGTGTGAGAAATACCATACGAAACTACTACTTCGTGACAAATCGTTTAAGTTAATTAAACGCCAGACATGACATGCGAAATAACTATTTTACATTACTATAGCATGCCAAATAACTCTAGTTACTTCAAAATTTCAATTCATGTTTCGTTAATAATTATATAGAAACAGTCAGTAAGTTCAGAATAAGAAATCTAGTTACATGAATGTTGATACGGGCTCGAGGTGGCACTTTTGTAGGCGAGTAAAATTTTTTCCAATAACATACAACAAATATTGTATCCTCAAATTATTTGTTGTCAACCCACTTTTCACTAATTTTGTAGCTTATTCCAGGCACCAGAATTGATAACGAAGTCTTATAATCAGGAGAGTCATTTCACAAAAATTTTGGGCGTGGGGGGCAAAGAAGGCTGATTTCGGTGGGCCTCCCAGTTCAGCTAGGTGCCCTAAGTTAAGGCGTAACTTTGCCTATATATATGTGTTAAATTGGACTGACTAGAAATGTCTCACAAAAACTGCCATTTGTGACTCTTTCTCGAGCTTGGGAGGAGGTGGATGTCTCTTCCAAATAAAAATCCTGGTGATAAAGATTTAATAATGAAATATGTTCCGAATCACTACAACGTTCTTTAATTTTTTCGTAACATTACATGCCATCTGCGAGAGAAAAAAAAATCACACCACGTCTCCGAAGCAATATTAGTATTTAAGACAGATAATTATAATAACAAAAATATTAAAACGTTCATGAAACGATAAGAATGACATAAACAATTACTTAACTATAACTGAGGTACTACATTGATGAACAATATCATACTAAGTTATCCAGACAGGGTTTTCATAAAATATCCTACGTAGGGCTGATGTGACTCTTTGGTTAAAGTGCTGGATTGTGGATCTGGGGGTTCAACGTTCCCGTCCTTTTCCCGCAATAATTAAATAAAACATAAAAATTGCGCTCAGCACTTTGGAGCCGTGGGTGTGTTATAAAGGTGACGGTCAAATCCCACTATTCGGTCGGACAAGAGTAACACAAGAGTTGGGCATGCTGTTTACTAACTACCTTCCCTCTAGTCCATCAGTTCAAAATTAGGGTCGGCTGGCACAGATAACACTTAGTAGTTTAGCGTGAATATCCGACAGGTAAAAAAAAACAAAAACTATGTACTACGTAAAAATAATTTAGCAAAACGATTTTCAATGTAAAGTTCATGTGTTTGGATTTTCATAAATTTTTATAACCGCACTTTGTAATGATGGTCAACTTAAAATAAGAATAGACCACATATAGACCTAATCTGGCTGATTCCGGAGTAAAGGATAAAATACAAACTGATCTGACATGATAAATAATGAAACTAAATGAGATGAAAATAGAACGGCTTATTGTCTAAACAATAAAATTCTATAAAATAAAACTATGAGAACTTTGGATGTTTGATATTGTTCAGGTTTCAAATGTTCCTTTTTTTTCCACTATTGAATAAATTAAATGTCAGAGCATCATCTTATTCTGCAGTATTTATTAAGCAACTGTGAATTAATCCAACAACAACAACAAAAACGAGGAAGTGTATGAGTTATAATGCTTCTTAGGCCTTACTCTTGGGTTGTTTGTCTGGCAGTATGTAACAACTATTCAAGTCAGGCAATTCAAAATGTCAAAACAAGTAAAGATATAAAATTATTCATATCGTTAAACTTTGATAATAAAACACTAAATAAAGCTTAACTAATGCTTTAATCCGTTCTCTACATAACTACTATTTCTTCTGAATACAATAGTTTCGCGTTTATTAGAGACAAGTTCTAACAAAGAACATTTTTCAAAGAGAAGCTTGTATGATCGAATTAATTATCGTATTTATAAAGTTGATGTTATTTACATTGATATTCCTTACGTCCTGTTTACTTAACTAAAGATATATACAACGAAAAGCCAAGTAAATATTCACCGATTTTCATGAGTTGGTAAAAGAGCGGTGTTCAAGCTTAACCCTAAAAACAGAATCAGACGTTACGAAAACAGTCTGTTTACGTTCAGACCCTGCACATTTCACACCGTTACTTTTATGAGTAACATTTATTTGAAATTTTGTCACACATTAGTAGATATGTAAAATGATAGTGTTATAGATCTTGTATTTGAATGTTACCATTCTCATTATTAATAATATAAACGACTTTAACATAGGCAGTTTTCAAAATAGTTTTTGAAAGACCTACAATACTCGAAAATAATGTTAATATAATTCACACACACACACTGTTAACAGTAATCGCTGTATAAGACACAGGTTCTTGTTTTATGCAGTTATATATGTAAAATGAAATTCTGAGGAAAAATGTTACTGTTGACATATGTTTAGACGCAGAAAAAATTTGCGTTAAAATCACCTCATTGAAATCTTTGCGACGTTTCGAGTAAACGCTCTTTATCAGGCTTTATAATTAAGCTTGTAGGTTAAAATGCCGCAGAATAAAAAAAAAATTTTTTTCGTATATTTAATTTTAATCATCTTTGCGTTTATTTGTTGCATTATATATTAAAAATATGCGAGTAAAGTGAGCATCTGGCGAAGTAACGTGCATTTAAACATAAATATACATACACACATGTAGAATAAAAATCATCTAATTAAACGACGTTACACGCGACATGTTTTTCACGCATATCTTCCTCGTGACCGTTGTCCAGTGTACGTACACAAGCTGGCGCACGCTAAAATTTCGGCCTCGGTTGTATATTATCAGTCTAGATTCCGAGCCTACAGATCCTATGAAGCCTGTCACTTCTTCCACACTATAAAGCATAAACAATTCTCTAGATATGATATTACGATAACACGTCTAATACGCATGCTTTGTTGTTGTTGTCGTAAACCCTACTTCAATGTTACACTATGGCGGACCTTTCAAAGAAAGGCAATACTTACTTATTAGAGTAATTGTGCGTTATAACTTCACATAAACCGTTTTTTGTTGTTGTTTTTTTCCATAGTGAAGAATTAAAAAGAAACAGATAAAAGACGTCGACGCGGTCACCTTGACGCAGTTGTTTTTCACTAAGCAGTGTACGTGACTGAGACAGTGGGTTGACCGATAATATGAATCTCGTTATACTTGCAACAGACAAAACCGTTGGAAAAGGTTTCTCGCGATAAACAATGAAAAGCAATGGGTGATTAGTCGCGTCCGCGGCAAGAGAACGATACGAAAATCACATTAATCTAGTTTAAAGAAAAAAGAACTTTAAAACACAAATTATTTTCTGGTAAACCTAAATGTATCTTATCAGTTTATTAAGAAGTCGTTAAGAAACCCGAGCTCAAGCATCATCAACATACTAAAAATTAGTTTAAATAACCCTCACCGAACTCCGTTTTTCTGAAACTAACAAACATTTTTAAACTAATGATAACTTTCTAATAAAGACAAATTATGCTGTTATTTTAATGTATTTTTTCTTAGCTTATCACGTTGTCCATCTTGATTTACTAAGCTACAGTCAGCTGATTGATATTCAGAACCTTCAACACTACTTACATTAAACAGGACTGTCCCACGGAAGTCGGATTTGTTTCAGTGTTTCAGTTATGAATGAATTAGGGCTCTAACCATAAAAATCTGACTCATTGTAGTCATAAATGAACTAGTTCTTTAACCATGGTAGTCGGTCATATCTTGGGCTTAAATGAACTAAGTCTGTAATCATGGAAGTCAGGCATATCTTAGGCCTAAATGAACTAGGTCTGTAACCATAGGAGTCACGTATTTTAGGCCTAAATGAACTAGGTCTATAACAATGAAAGTCAGACGTATTTTAGGCCTAAATGAAATATGCTTGTAACTACGAAAGCTAGGCATACTTTCTTCAGTAAAGAGCATTTCATTTTATATGATAATAGTTTGCAAATATACTCTTTCTTTGATTCACTCTCACCATTAGATTCTATCATCAGGTAACCACACTTTAAACAATACTGCAAAATCTTTGAGTACGTCAAAGATCATTATATAAAGTAGAAAATATTGTTTTGGTCACACGAATAATATATATAGATAACTTCAACAAGAAAGGCCATATCACATAAAACAATATAGTGGAGAAGCAAAACAGATCACATGAGTCGAATTATTATGGAGATGTATCTAGTCTGACCTACAACTTAACTCCAAATATTAGGCCCAGAGAATACTATAATGTAGTCAGTTGGGAGTTGTAGGTTTAATTTTACTTCCTATAGCTATGATTAAGGAAGGAAACTTATCTTACTCGCTTATCATTTACAAACGATATTAAACATAAAGCTATTAGAATGTGACATTTACTAGTTAAGATAGCTAACTGCCGTTATTTTTCGAACAGTTATGTACTAGAACGAAAAGAAACAAGAATTTATAGTAATTAAAACTATCTGATTAAAGCAGTGCGTATATGGACATACTGTTTTTAGAACTTAGTAACATAGTCTCTTCACACACGACGACAGTTAATAAGAGCTCTGCGCCATCTGTTGGCTATGCTTACAACCAATATAACTGTTTAATTGTATAAGTGCAAGATCATGATAGTGAACAATGCATAAACATTAACAATGTCTTTCCTTTTGTCTTCTTTGCTGGGAATTAAGTTAAAACAGTTTTGATGCATAGTAAAAATATGAATGGAGAATGTCATAACCACGATATATAGTTGGAAGATAAGATCTGTTACATTTTCATGGCTAAAAGTGAAATATCAACATTAAATTATACATGCTGTAATATTCTGTAGGAGATCTGTTTTATTCCTGTAATAACTAAACTGCATAGCTAGCTTTCAACATTTGATCAATGTGACTTTGTAATTGTTAATAACAAAATACATTTATAATATTCATTATTTAACTGTGTGATACTCTACTAAAGTTACACATATACATTGAAAAACACATTGTATATTTTATGAATTTACAAGGATTAAAGTATTGTAGAATATCATTGGTTTCAAATAAAGAACACACAGTTAGCTTAGTAAATGATTACACAATCGCAGCTTTGTAGTATTACGTTTTCAATAAATAAATGAATATTCTAGTAACTCAAATAACTTTAGCTCTCGTAGCTTAGAGGTTTTGAACGTTTCAAACAATACCAGAATTTTTAATTTATAACTGACTCATATTGTGAGACTTATAAACGGCAATGCTGCTTCCTTAAGGTGGTTTGTAAAACTGAAGTCCTTCGATATTCATGGTTAGAAACTATTCTATTTTAATTCACTTGTCATCAGACATTAGTATTAAGTCTATTATACTGTTTAACATTACATTACATATATATATATAGAGTCCCTTATGGATTTTTAAGAATTAGAAGAATGAATAATAATAATGTTCTAACCAAATTGTGTTCGCCGTATCCATTACCATCGACGCGTTTCGCTCAATCCAGAGCTCATCAGGCCTCATGCTAATGTCTAATGACAAAAATGTTAGTTAAAATCGTGCTCCGCTAGCTTGCAAAAGGTTTCACACCATAACAATTGTTGTTGTAAAAGATGTCTTATATAGATAGTGTTTCGACCACTACTGTGTTTGTTGCTTCCCAGTAGACCTGAACAGCTCTGTATTGAACGAATCGCGTCGTCAACAATGGATGCGGTGAATATAACGTGGTTGGAGTACTACTACTATTATTATTATTCACTCTTCTAATTTTTGAATATCCCTAAGAGACTAGATATAGAATGCAATGTTAAAAATACAATAGACCTAATACTAACGTCTAATGACAAGTAAATTAATTATAATCGTGCTTCGCCTGCTTGACAAAAAGGTGTTCACACCATAACTATTTTATTTTATTCCACGAACAGGATACGCTCCATAGCTTATTGTTACGTGAACACTACTGTTCACACAGCAGCTGGCACAGCGGCATGTCTGCAGACTTACAATGCTAGAAACCGGGTTTCGATACCCGTGATAGGCAGAGCACTGATAGCCCATTGTGTATCTTTGTGCTTAACTATAAACATCAACACCACACAGCAGCAGCTACATTACGACTGAAATCAATTTTTACAGCATATAAAAAAGTTGTTTTATGTGGCTAAGAATTCAAATAATTTTGTACAGAGTTTAAGACTGTTACACGTGGCTCAGAATTCAAATAATTGTTTTACAGTATTTCAAGCTCTTACATCTGGCTAAAAATTTTATTTTATTACATTTACTACTTTCGTTCTCAGTTTAATGAATGTTGTTTGTAAAAGAAATTTTTGATCAAAATACAAACAAAAACCTTTATTCACTTTTAGCGTCTTTGTTTACGATAATAGACTAGCCAAGTTTAATATTTTTCTATTGATTCCAGAGCAGCGCCTTTAGACAGTAAGAAGTTGGTTGGTTAGTTACTTTAGAGCAAAGTCACGTTGGGCTGGGCCCGACATGGCCAGGCAGTTAGGGTGCTAGATTCGCAATTTGAGGGTTGCGGGTTCGAATCCCCATCCCACCAAACATGATCGCTCGTTCAACTGTGGGGGCGTGACGGTCAATCCCACTATTCGTTGTTAAAAAAGTAGCCCAAGAGTTGGCGGTGAGAGATGATGACTAGCTGCCTTTCCTCTAGTCTTTCACTTCTAAATTAGGACGGCAATCGCAGATAGCCCTCGTGTAGCTTTGCTCCGTGAAATTCAAAAACAAACACATTGGGCTATCTGCTGTCTCCATCGAAGGGAATCAAACCCCGAACTTTAGCGTTGTAATTCCGTAAACTTGCCACTATCCCATTGGGGGTCGAAAGAAGAAGTAATACACAACATTTGGATATTTTATGGTGGAAGGTATAGTTACATCAAGCGTCATGCTCTGGAGGAAATATTATATTTTTAATATTACAACATTTAACAAAACAATACATGCTGTATTATATACTTTTCTGATTGTTGTAAAGTTTAAACCTTCACAATGGACAATCTGTGGTCTGGCTACCACTGGTACCGAAATTCGATTTTTAGCGTCGTAAGCCTGCTTAACTTACCGCTGAGCCATTGAGGACTATCGTATTTGAAAAGGGATGAAAATCAGCGAAGTAACTAATGGATCTTAATCTATTTTTACTCAGAGAAGAACAATAAAGAATCACCTATCTTTGAAAAAGTTGACTGTGCTGTTAGCTTATAAGTTAAAGTGCACATAGTATTACTTATGCTGGTAATGAGAAGTATCACTTGATTGAAAAACAAATTACAATTACTTATATTATGTTCCGTATACACATTATGTTTAATATACACAAAGACAACCACACTAGTTTAAATAGAAATCTAGTATCGCATACTTAGAACAAGTATTAAGAGAAGAATAAAAAAATATCTTGCTCTTATCATTCCCTCTCTACAGTTCTTTTATCCTAAGCCTCTAAATTTAGCTTTTAAACTGTATCTATGTGGCACAGGAACATTGTTTTGTTTTCGCGCATAACTAAAGAACCTATCTGCACTAGCCGTCCCTAATTTAGCAGTGATAGACTAGAGGGAAGGCAGATAGTCAACACCACCCACCGAAAACTCTTAGACTACTCTTTTACTGACCTCAACATTATAACGCTCTCATGGCTGAAAGGACAAACATGTTCCATGTGACGGTGATTCGATCCCGTGACCCTCAGATTGGGAGTCGAGCGTCCTAACCACCAGGCCATGATAGTCTCGAAGCTGTTTTACTGTCACTGATTAAACATTCATTTTCAATAAAGGTGAAACACTAGTAGCTTAAACTGACTAAATAACGCCTTTACGAGTGCATGAAATAAATTAAATATAATTTAGATTCATAGTTTGAATGTAATATTTTAAAGTCTGATAATATTGATTCTAATTTCTCAGCAACGTTAGCATTAGATATGACAATGTTTTTGCAAAACTCACTGATTGTTAGTGTCACGTGATTAGGGTTGATATTCATATAATTTACAACAATTGTTTTCACTATTTGACATTTAATGTTAACAATATGCTGTTAACTCATGAGACAAAGGTCTGTTGAGATTCGTTCT